TCTCAGCTGTGGTTTGTCCACACAGTGCTCATGGCGACCTGAGGTCCATGTGTCTTTGCTGCAGCCCTCAGTTGACCTGGGGACGAGGGGCACCTCACCCCCCCCCCAAAATGTCCTTGCGAGTGTGATGTGGCTTGTGGAATCTGGGGCCCCATCAACGCTAACTACCTCCTGCATTTATAGTGAGTCCAACTGGGAAGCGGGGGTCTGGCCTAAGCCCTAGCATAGCAGGACCCCCAGGTGCTCCTGGCTTTTCTCTTTCGGCCTCGCCCCTGTCTGGTGTGCTGTGCCCTGCATACTCGGTATCACCATCAGACTTGGGGTTTGGGGAGGGGTGTGGTGGCCAGTGGCTAGCCCCTTCCTGGGCGGATCCCTAGGGCTGGCAGCCCTGTGTCCTTGTTGGCTAGAAGGGGAGCAGGAAGCCCAGGGTCCTCTCATCTTGTGTCTGCTTATAATTTGAGCCTAAGACTGCTGCTCTTCCCAGTGCTTCCCAGGAGCTGCTCAGGCAGCAAAAGAGGAAGGGGCCTCAGCTTGTCATCTGTAGGGTGGGTGTGACCATTCTGACCTTGTGGATGTGCTGAGGACCATGGGACCCTGGGGACCACCTGTCTGTTGCGTTTTCTCCAGTGTCTGCTTTTGCCTGGCCTTGCCGTGGCCAGCAGAGGGGGTGAGTGAGCGTGGTGTGAAGTTGTCCCACCTGCAGAGAGCTGGGGGGAAGGCTACTGGGGGTAATCCGCACTTCCCCACCCTCCCGTCCTTCTCTCACCCTATTTGGAAGCTTCATGTTAATCTGTGCCTTTTGTCAGCCACTGGTTTTCAGTGAGTGGCTGAACCCTGTGAGCAGGTCAGCTGGTAGTCTGTTTTGCTTTTAATTTCCTTCTGGAAGCCTCAGTTGCCCACCCCCCACCCCCAGCCTGCCGTCTACCTCAGGTTGGGAAACTGTCTCCCACCACCTTGTTTCTGCCACCCAAGGAGATTTTTAAAGGCAGTTTCTGGGCCTCCCTGGTCCTTGCTAGCATCTAGGTAGGGTTCCCCCGCGCAGATGTCCTCTGATCTTTCAACTCTGCTGTTCAGGTGGCTCTGAGAGGCAGCATGTCGAGGGGAGACTCCTGGCTCTGCCCAGCATCTCTCCTGGGACACACCTGTCCCACCATACTTCAAGAGAAGATGTCTGTGGGCAGGACCAGCTCTGGGCCAGAGGGGACAGCACGGTGCAGATGTGCTGAGTCTGGGGCCTAAGGCTAGGGGGGGCACAGGCCGGCAGGGGTACCGCTGGGATCCACACCTTGAGCCACTCGGCCCCCCCTCCTGCTTGGGAGGGGTCCCCTGAGCTCTCACCCAACTGTCACTTACTGGTCTCTCTGCCAGTGGGGGCTTTCCCAGGAGGTGGGTCCCAGCACCTGGCAACGGTAGGGGGTCAAGGGGGCCCCCAACCCTTTGCTTTCTGTCTACCCTTCCCCCCCCCATCATGCTGGCACCAGGCTGCCTGGCAGCCCCACTTCAAGACAAGGGCTTGTTGGGAGCCCCACAGGCAGCTTAGCATGACCTGTGGGTTTTTCAAGGGTCTGAGTACATTTCAGCAGTGTGCTGAGTGTGGCATTTATGTTCCCAGGAGACAGGAGGCTGGGCTGCCATGCACAGCCCTGTGCTATGGGACAGCCGCCTGCCCATGTGTGTCTGGGGTTCATGTTCCTCTGAATCTCATAGGCCTTGCTGGCCCAGTGGGACTCTGCTGGGCAGTTGTGTTGGGGTGGGGTCACTCTCAGGCTGCCGTGGCCTGCAGTACCTCCTGGTATTTGGTGAGTCTGTGCTGGTACAGTACTGGGAGCTGTGACCACATCATCTGGGCTTCCCCCAGCAACTCCAAGAGGGCTCCAGGCCAGGCATCAGGTGATCAGTGGGCTGGTGCTGGTGAATCCAGACCATTCCCCATCACTGCAGGGCCAGGCTGCCCTCACTGGGCATAGGGTGCAGGGCAACGTTCATGGCTGAGGGTGACTTAGGAGGCCTTGGGTCCCAACGTCATGCCTGCAGCCTCCTCTGTGCCACAGGTACCCTATGTCAGTTTCTGCCCATGTCCTGGGGCCTGGCATCCCCTTGGAGCCAGCCACTGCTGTCACAGTGGGTATAGCATTTGGGGCTGCCTGGTGTTGGCCTGGCACCTTTTGGCCTTGGAGAGCTGTGTGGCAGTGACGTGGGGCCTAGCCTGGCGTCTGCACTGCACCCTGTATGCTGGGCCCTGAGGGAAAGGTGGTCCAGGGTTTCCTAGAAGCATCAGCAAGGGCTGTGAGGCAGATGGAGACCCGGAGTGTTTCAGGCGGATGACTGGCTT